TCTATTTCATTTTTCCCTCTTTTTCTTGTTGATTAGCCTGGCTAGAATGGCTAGAAGTCTATTTTGTTCTTTCTTTCTTTTTCTTTTGTTTTTGTTTTTGTTTTTGTTTTGCTCGTTGTCCAGGCTGGAGTGCAATCGATGCTTTTGGCTCACTGCAACCTCTGCCTCCTGGGTTCAAGTGATTCTCCTGTCTCAACCTCCTGAGTAGCCGAGATTACAGGTGCCTGCGACCAGCTAATTTCTTGTATTTTTAGTAGAGACAGTGTTTCACTATGTTGGCCAGACTGGTCTCGAACCCCTGATCTCAGGCGATCCACCTGCCTCAGCCTCTCAAAGTGCTGGGATTACAGGCATGAGCCACCGTGCCCACCCCTAATCTTTTCAAAAAATCAGCTTCTGGATTCATTGGTTTTTTTTTTTTTTGAAGGTTTTTTTGTGTTTCTATCTCCTTCAGTTCTGCTCTGATCTTAGTTATTTCTTGTCTTCTGCTAGCTTTTAGATGTGTTTGCTCTTGCTTCTCTAGTTCTTTTAATTGTGGTGTTAGAGTGTCAACTTTATCTCTTTCCTGCTTTCTCCTGTGGTCATTTAGTGCTATAAATTTCCCTCTAAACACTGCTTTCACTATGTCCCAGAGATTCTGGTGCATTGTGTCATTGTTCTTATTTGTTTCAAATAACTTATTTATTTCTGCCTTAATTTCGTTATTTACCCATTAGTCATTCCAGAGCAGGTTGTTCAGTTTCCATGTAGTTGTGTGGTTTTGAGTGAGTTTCTTAATTCTGAGTTCCAATTTGATTGCACTGTGAGCTGAGAGACTGTTAGGATTTCCATTTGCTGAGGAGTGTTTTACTTCCAATTATGTGGTCAGTGTGGTGCTGAGAAGAATGCATATTCTGCTGATTTAGGATGGAGAGTTCTGTAGATGTCTATCAGGTCTGAGTGGTCCAGAGCTAAGTTCGAGTCCTGAATATCTTATTAATCTTCTGTCTCATTGATCTGTCTAATATTGACAGTACTGTGTTAAAGCCTCCCACTATTAACTTTGGGGGAGTCTAAGTTTCTTTGTATGTCTCTAAGAACTTGCTCTGTGAATCTGGGTGCTCCTGTATTGGGTGCATATATATTTAGGATAGTAAGCTCTTCTTGTTGCATTGATCCATTTACCATTATGTAATGCCCTTCTTTGTCTTTTTTTATCTTTGTTGGTTTAAAGTCTCTTTTATCAGAGGTTAAGATTGCAACCCTGCTTTTCTTTGCTTTTCATTTGCTTGGTAAATATTCCTTCATCCCTTTATTTTGATTCAATGTGTGCCTTTGCACATTACATGGGTCTCCAGAATATAGCACGCCAATGGGTCTTGACTCCTTATCCAATTTGCCAGTCTGTGTCTTTTAATTGGGGCATTTAGCCCGTTTACATTTAAGATTAATTTTGTTATGTGTGAATCTGATCCTGTCATTATGATACTATCTGGTTATTTTTCCTGTTAGTTGATGCAGTTTCTTCATATTGCTAATGGTCTTTACAATTTGGTATGTTTCTGCAGTGGCTGGTACTGGTTTTTCCTTTCCATGTTTAGTGCTTCCTTCAAGAGCTCTTGTAAGGCAGACCTGGTGGTGACAAAATCACGCAGCGTTTCCTTGTCTGTAAAGGATTTTGTTTCTCCTTTGCTTATGAAGCTTAGTTTGGCTGGATATGAAATTCTGGGTTGAAAATTCTTTTCTTTAAGAATGTTGAATATTGGCCCCAATCTCTTCTGGCTTGTAGGGTTTCTGCAGAGAAATCCGCTGTGAGTCTGATGGGCTTCCCTTTGGGGGTAACCTGACCTTTCTCTCTGGCTGCCCTCAACATTTTTTTTCCTTCATTTCAACCTTGGTGAATCTGACGATTATGTGTCTTGGGATTGCTCTTCTCAAGGAGTATCTTTGTGGTGTTTTCTGTATTTCCTGAATTTGAATGTTGGCCTGTCTTGCCAGGTTGGGGAAGTTCTCCTCGATAATATTCTGAAGAGTGTTTTCCAACTTGGTTCCATTATCCCCATCACTTTCAGGTACCCCAGTCAAATGTAGTCCTATATTCACATAGTCTGATATTTCTTGGGGGCTTTGTTCATTCCTTTTCATTCTTTTTTCTCTAATCTTGTCTTTATGCTTTATTAAGTTGATCTTCAATCTCTGATATCCTTTCTTCCACTTGATAGATTCGGCTATTGATACTTGTGTATGCTTCACAAAGTTCTTGTGCTGTCCTCAGTTCCATCAGGTCATTTATGTTCTTCTCTAAACTGGATATTCTAGTTAGCAATTCCTCTAACCTTTTTTCAAGGTTCTTTGGTTCCTTGCCTTGGATTAGAACATGCTCCTTTGGCTTGAAGGAGTTTGTTATTACCCACCTTCTGGCCTATTTCTGTCAATCTCTCAAACTCATTCTCTGTCCAGTTTTGTTCCCTTGCTGGCAAGAAGCTGTGATCCTTTGAAGGAGAAGCAGCATTCTGGTTTTTGGAATTTTCAGCCTTTTTGTGCTGGTTTTTCTTCATCTTCGTGGATTTATCTACCTTTAGTCTTGGATGCTGGTGACCTTCGGATGGGGTTTCTGTGGGGATGTCCTTTTTGTTGATGTTGACGCTATTCCTTTCTGTTTGTTAGTTTTCCTTCTAACAGGCCCCTCTGCTGCAGGTCTGCTGGAGTTTGCTGGTCCACTTCAGACCCTGTTTGCCTGGGTGTCACCAGCAGAGGCTGCAGAACAGCAAAGATTGCTGCCTGTTTCTTCCTCTGAAAGCTTCGTCCCAGAGAAGCACTCGCCAGATGCCAGCCAGAGCTCTCCTCTATGAGGTGTCTTTCAACCCCTGCTGGGAGGTGTCTCCCAGTCAAGAGGTACAGGGGTCATGGACCCACTTGAGGAGGCAGTTGGTCCCTTAGCAGAGATCAAGTGCTATGTTGGGAAATCCACTGCTCTCTTCAGAGCTGGCAGGCAGGAGCGTTTAAGTCTGCTGAAGCTGTGCCCACAGCTGCCCCTTTCCCCAGGTGCTCTGTCCCAGGGAGATGGGAGTTTTATCTATAAGTCCCTGACTGGGGCTGCAGCCTTTCTTTCAGAGATGCCCTGAAAGAATAGAAATCTAGAAAGGCTATCTGGCTACAGTGGCTTTGCAGAGCTGCAATGGACTCCACCCAGTTTGAACTTCCCATTGGCTTTGTTTACACTGTTTCTGAACTAATTCTGTAAAGTCTGTATTATTTGTTTTGTGGGACCACTGAAATCTCTGGCCAGTTAGGTTGGTAGACAGCTAAACATCAGACAAAGGTTTCTTAAATGCCTGAAAGCTATAAGTCTCCTAGCCTTTCCCAAGGGGCTCTGTGTGTACGTTAAGACCTACCTTCAACATTCTGCCAGGCAGTTTACAACTTTGACTTAGGCTCAGGCTTCACTTCCTGCTTGCTCAGACTATCAAGGTAGCCAAAGATGAGAGCTTAGGGCCATCTCAGGTCTTTCCAGGAATACACACAGCTCTAAGCTTGCACAGAGTTTCCCAAGAATATGTCAGAGCTTTCCAAAGTCTGGAAAAAACAAACATCTCATTACCCAGCTTTTCCCTTTCAGCTTTTTGATTAACCTATTATTTTGCCCCAACTGCCTCAGGTAGTAATCACTATTGATTGCTTTTGATTAATGCCCTCAAAGAAAAAGCTGTTCACACGGGGCCAGCTCCAAATCAGGTCAAATAAAGATAGCCTTGAGAGTGGCATCTTTGTGTGAAATATGAAATACGTCAAATGATGATAACTCTCTGGGTATGGGACTTTGAAGAAGCTCCAGCTCTGTTCTGCTCCATCCAATGGCTGCCAGACAGCTAGTTTTCATGTGCATACAGGCTGTTGGTTTTCAAGGCTGTTGGTTTTCATGGAGCTAAGTAGATTAGGATAGGAATAGGGCAACACACCACAAAGCTCCAAGGGAAATGAAATACATGTCCATGCAGAAACTTGTACATGCATGTTTATAACAGTGTTACTCACAGTAGCTAAAAGGTAGAAAACTTAAATATCCATTAACTGATTCATGGATAAACAACATGTTGTATATCCATAAAACAGAGTATTATTCAGCCATAAAAAGGAATGAAATACTGACACGTTACAATGAATGAACCTTGAAAATATTATGCTAAGTGAAAGAAGCCAATCATAAAAGGCCACATATTACATTACTTCATTCATATAAAATATAGATTAGTGGTTGTTTATGGCTGGGGGAATAGAGAGGTGATGGCTAAAAGGTAACAGATTTCTTTTTGAGGTAACGAAAACGTTCTAAAATTGACTGATGATGATGGTTGCACATATGTGTGAATATTCTAAAAACCATTAAACTCTTTTGTTTAATGATTTAAACACTTCAAATGTGTGAATTGTATATGTTAAATGTGTGAATTGCATAGTATGTGAATTATATCTCAATAACCCTTCTAAACAATGCCACAAAGCTTGCTGTTCTGATTAAGATTCAGCTTATTTTGTCGAATAAATGTTCACAGGACTGCTATAAGCCTTTGGTAATTAGCAGAGTTCTGAAAAGTTGGCACTGACAATTTTTTTCCAGTGTTCTCATTAATTTTATGGAGGAATTTTCAGAAGTCCTTATGGTGTCATTTTAGCTGACATCCTCCATTCACTTTTAATGCTCAGTACAACAGTTTGCTCCTGTCACCCTTAAACAAAACACAGTATTCTGTTCTAAGTGATAATGCTAAATATACCATTGTCCTCTCTTTAGTACTCTCGTAGGTACCATAATCTATTTACCTCAAATATTCTTTCCAGTCTGTTTGATGCATCTCTCTTCTGTTTTCCTCTGTACCTCTAGCCTAATATCCCAGCTGAGGAGCAGAGAGCAGTGGGTGATGGGGGGGAATTACTGAAGAGCAGAAAACATCCCACCATGTTCAATATTTTATACTCCTCTGCTCTCACTTCCCTGTGTTTCTCCTCCAACCCCACTCTAGGTGTCCTATGTGAAAGCCATTGACATTTGGATGGCAGTTTGCCTGCTCTTTGTGTTCTCAGCCCTACTAGAATATGCTGCCGTTAACTTTGTGTCTCGGCAACATAAAGAGCTGCTCCGATTCAGGAGGAAGCGGAGACATCACAAGGTAGGCCTTTGGGTCACTGCCTAAGGAGGGACAGCTGGTAGTAAACAAAAGAGTTCTAAGCAGTCTTGCCTTGTGTTATTTGTTTCAATGGTCCATCTTTCTCAATGTAAAAGGCAGGTTAGAAATAGGAACTAAAGACCTAGAGGTCTCAGCTTTCCTCCCATAAGTAATGCCCTAGTTGGGTCTATAGGCGGTCACTCTTCCAATTGCAACAGTAACACTACAGAAATTATCAAGTTATACCTACAGGCAGAATTAATGGGCTAAATGCTGATGGGGTCAAGAAAATAACTAACTATAAACCTAAAATAACTAACTATAAACCATTGGCTTTTTTCTGCAAGCCTGCATGGTTTTAATAGGCTTGATTCCAGAAGACAATTGCACACGAAAGGTGAGATCTTAAAGTAGAATGCCCAGGTTCAGACTTTGCTTCCTGCTCCAGGATAGAGGCAACAAGCAAGATCCTCCACCAGAGTGGGTTCTCTCACCATATGAGGGATCGAATAAAGGAATATTTGACAGGGCACCTCTGGAAAGTAACCAACTTCTGTTTACTCAGAGGTCATGCACTGACCAAAGAATACCACTGGGGAGTGTGTAGCCTGCTGGAGCAAACTGCTCCATACCCTGGGTCCCTAGCCAGTTCCCCAGAAGACCACTGTCCTGGGGATCAGAGTCTGCTTTCCTCTGCAGTCTCATTTTCACATCAATTTCCTTTTTGCTCTCTGAACTCCAACCACCCTGGCTTTTTTCTTAGTTCTTCAAATATACACACAGGACTTTAGATATCTTGTTCTCTTTCCCTGTCCTGTTCTTTCAATGCACTGTGTGTGCTATGTTCTAATTGAACTTAATTTCTAACCTTGTAAAAATGTATCCTGATTTCAGCCGGGCATGGTGACTCATGCTTGTAATCCCAGCACTTTGGGAGGCCAAGGTGAATGGATTGCCTGACGTCAGGAGTTTCAGACCAGCCTGGCTAACCTAGTGAAGCCCCATCTCTACTAAAAATACAAAAATTAGCAAGGCATAGTTGTGGGCACCTGTGATCCCAGCTACTAGGGAGGCTGAGGCAGGAGGATTGCTTGAACCCTGGAGGCGGAGGTTGCAGTGAGCTGAGATCACACACTACTGCACTTCACCCTTGGCAATAGAGTGAGACTCTCTCTCAAAAAAAAAAAAAAAAAAAATGTATCCTGATTTAAAAGCATAAATTCAATGATGTGATTTTTTAAAAGTCTATCTCTTCTACCAAATTGCAAGCTCCATAAAAGCAGAGACCATGTTTATTTTTGCTCAGTGCTAGATCCCTGGTGCCTAACACAAGGCCTAACATAAAGGGAGCATGCAATAAGTATTTGTTAAACAGATGAACAAAGGGATAAACAAATGATTAGGTTGGTGCAAAAATAACTGCAGTTTTTGCCATTAAAAGTAATAAAGAAGCAGCATCCAGACAGAGTCTGAAGTTCTTCTAGTGACAGATTAGGGCAACGAGGGACACACTAGGACCTGTCATAGTGTTGCAGGCCACAGCACATACCTGCAATGTCAGATGCTACAAGCTTTAGACTGATCTATTTAAAATAACTGTTTATTAATCAGTAAATTACAAAAACAAAACAAAATAGTTGTCTGCAAGCTGCAATGTGCTGTAACAAAAGACCCTGTCTCTTTAGTCCTCTTTACTATGAGACTTCAAGATAGTCTATTCTTGGGTCCAGGTTCTTCATGTGCAAACTGTGTATAAAGGGAAACTGGTGAGAATTAAATCAGTGGATGCCAAAGCAGCTTTTTGTTCCTACCATGCAAGTGCCAAGTATTAAAATGATTACATATACACAAACTTCTATCAGTGTTTTTCTTAAACATCAGCAATCTGATTCAATTAACTTCTGGCAGTTTACCATAGGGAGGAGGCAGACATGCCAAGACAGAAGATGTCCATGGGAATTAAGATATCACCATCCTTCTAAATCTGCATTGAAGGAGAAAATTGTCTTGGGTTCAGAAAGCCAGATAGAATTTTTTAAATGACCCCTAGTTTTAGCTACTCTATATTGTCCATTGAATACCTAGCCTCTGATTCTTAAAAAGAAAAAAAGAAAGTCTAATTAAGAAACTGGAATGATGGCTTTTACCTGTAATCCCAACTACTAGGAAGGCTGAGGTGACAGGATTGCTTTAGCCCAGGAGTTCCAGACCAATATGGGCAACATAGTAAGACTTTGTCTCAAAAAAAAAAAGAAAGAAACTGAAAATGACCAAACATAACTATATCTAGAATTTGTTTTTATTTTTCCTTTTTTCCCCCATAGACTAGCTGCTTTTTGTAATTTCGTTTGCTAGAGACATTTGTTAAAAACATTAATTTGAAAAGACCATGTCCAAGATATTTTACTATCACTAGGCCTTTTGATTGGACACTGCACAGCTCCACTAGATATTGTATAGACTAAAATGGGAATGGAGCCTCCTGAAGATACGTAGTATGGTGGCCTATGGTACTTTCAAAGGCTGCTTCTACCCTCCCCAAATACCTACCAGTTTGACACACTAGAAGAAAACAAACACTTTCTCTCTGGCCAGATAAAGTGTGAATGAAGCCACTATTTAGATTTGATCAGATTCCCCTACGTGGTTCCCTCCTGGAAGATACCTCAGCAATCACCCCATCCACTCCTGATGAGGGAGGCCCACAATAGCAAGGCCAAGTCACTGGCATCACAATGTACTAAAGGCAAAGGCAAGGGAGGTGTTCAAAGACCCGAGGTTCTTCTCCAAACATTAACCATACCATCATGAGTTTTTATCTGTTCATCAGTGTGTCCATCTTGAAGCAGATAAAAATCGTCCTGCATTTAATAGATCTTAAATAAAGACTAAGCCTTATTCCAAGGTGGAGGTCAAAAACTAGTAGCCAGAAGGTGAAATTTGGTACGCAAATATCTTTACTTTGGCCAGGAGTGTTTTTAAAATCTGGACTAAGGGGTCAGCATTTAAAAATCGCACTTCTGGCTTCATTAGAAAAAAATTACAGCATTCAGCCATACTGGATGTGCTTCCCATAAGGTATTGGTGCACTGGAACTGCCTTTAGATAGGGAGTGCATTCTCCAGTTAATACCATCTCTTCTAACCAGATATTTTTCAGCCCCAACTTACTTTACCACTCACATTTCTCCTGCCTGCCTCCTTGTATGCATTTGAATTAATTTTTTCTCATTTATAAGGGCTCTTAAGTTGGCCCAAATGTTAGAAATTGCAATGATGGAGAATTGAGCTTACCATAAAAAATAGTTTCCTGTGGAGTAAGCCGCTCTGGAAGTGATTTGTACACTAGCGGTGTACAAGCTTCTCTTCCAGAAACCTCTCTTTAACAGGTAGTTTGCAGAGGGAATTTTAAATCCAGACAGTGAATGGAGAGGAACTAGCTACATGCCTGAATTTCTCAGAGCCTGTGATCTTGGCCAGCCTTCCCAACTCCCACCATCTTCCCATGTTGCCTCATTTGTTGTGCAGAAAGCATCTGGTTTTCGAATTCTCTGGCTGGCCTCCTTACGCAAATTATTAGGAAACCGTATCTGCGAGCACCAGGCTCAGCAGGCATACTGCTAGCAACCTCCCTGGGTTCCAGAGTACACAACCAGATTTCCCCTCCTCCAGCTCTAAGCAGTTCTAGATACAGTTGGGCATGCATTTCCTGCCACCTGCTGGTTCCAGTAAGAATAGCAAGCCTTTTACCAGTCATTCCTAGGGAATTTCCTTTCTCACAGACACAATGTGAAATTGATAATCCTCTAGCTAGACAGGGCCTTCAATCCAAACCTCTACTCTTCCCATTCCCATGTTTAACAGATGAGAAAGGCAAAGAATAATATCCAAAGCAGCATAAAAAATTAATTTGGTCCTTCCCCCTACCTAACTAGGTCCTGGTTTAAAATTAAAACAACAACAACAAAAAAAACCCAACATCCCCAGCCCAAGCAAGGGGAGATTTTCACTGAAATGTAATAGAGTTCAGACTTAGACCCCCTTCTAAGTATTAGGTCCAGCTATTTGGCCGGCTCCCCCCAACTCCTCTCCTTGGCCCTGGCATTGACTCTTCTACTGTTGCCATATGCATAGACAAGTACTTACTAAGCACCTATTTGCCAGGCATTGCATATATGTAGCACATCCTCTTCCTCCCCACTTTTGCAATGAAGGTGCTGGACAAGATTCGTTCATTTTCCAAGGATCTCTCGAGCATTTAGCGTATGTCTCAAACGCTTCTGGTGCTAAAAATACAACCCCATCTAAACAAACCAAAAAACAAATGAATAAAGGAAGATAAAGCTGGTGAAGATATACAAGTAAACATTTAATCAACAAATATGTACCAAGTTTTGAGCTTATAAACCAAGGACTATGTTCATATGTTCAGAGTTAAGAGTGCAGTGAACATGACAGATTTTGCCTCTACTTTCAGGGAACTTACAATGTAATAAAAGACAGATGCTAGTCAAGAAATTACAATACAATGTTACAAGAGCTTTTTTTTTTTTTTTTTTTTTTGAGACGGAGTTTCACTCATGTTACCCAGGCTGGAGTGCAATGGCGCAATCTCGGCTCACCGCAACCTCCGCCTCCTGGGTTCAGGCAATTCTCCTGCCTCAGCCTCCTGAGTAGCTGGGATTACAGGCACGCGCCACCATGCTCAGCTAATTTTTTGTATTTTTAGTAGAGACGGGGTTTCACCGTGTTGACCAGGATGGTCTCGATCTCTTGACCTCGTGATCCATCCGCCTCGGCCTCCCAGAGTGCTGGGATTACAGGCTTGAGCCACCGCGCCCGGCTACAAGAGCTTTAAGAAAAGAGGGAGATGACTGGACATGGTGGCTCACACCTGTAATCCCAACATTTTGGGAGGCTGAGGCGGGCAGATCATGAGATCAGGAGGTCAAGACCATCCTGGCTAACATGGTGAAATCTTGTCTCTACTTAAAAAAAAAAAAATACAAAAAATTAGCCAGGTGTGGTAGCACGCACCTGTGGTCCCAGGTACTCGGGAGGCTGAAACCGGAGAATCACTTAAACCTGGGAGACAGAGGTTGCAGTGAGCCAAGACTGTGCCGCTGCACTCCAGCCTGGACGGCAGAGCCAGACTCTGTTTCAAAAAAAAAAAGAAAAAACAGAAACAAAAACAAAAAAGAAGAGGGAAATATGTATAAAGGGTTTATGGAGCACACAGCAGGGATGGCTAGGCTACACTTGGGAGCTCAGAGAAGGCTTCTGAGGAAGAATTAGGTGAAAGAGGAGTTGGAGGCAAGAGATGGGATTGAGATTGTGTTCTAGGCAGGGAGAACAACTTGTACAAAGGCCCAGAGTTCAAAATAAGGAGCATGACATTTCAAATATAAGGAAATATTTCAGAGTGACTGAAGCATAGAACACCAGATAGAAATGGCATAAGATGAAGCTGGAAAAGCAGGCAGCATCCACGTTCTAAGGCTTTGTTTATCATGTTAAGGATTTTAATTAGCCAGAAGTCAATGGCAGCCTATTAAAAGTTTTTAAGCAAAAGATGACCAAGAACTGTGCTACAACTCAAATGGTTTGGGTGGTGGGGGCAGACTGGAGGCTATTGCAATGGTGGGCTGGACACAGTAACTCACACCTGTAATCCCAGAACTTTGGAAAGCCAAGGGAGGAGGTTCTCTTGAGGCCAGGAGTTCAAGACCAGACTGGGCAGCATAGCGAGACACCCCATCTCTACAAACAAAACAAAACAAACAAACCAGAAGGTGACCTATCCTACAGTAGAGAGGGAGAGCCACCAGCAGATCTTATACTGAGTTTCTTGTTCTCTGTTGGCCCTGTCCTACACAGGAACAAGCAGAAGATAGTATTCGTTTCCTAAAAGCATTATCTACGTGGGCAATGTAAGCTGATAAAACTTCTCCATGCCAACACTGAATCAACAGTTCAGTTGAAACCAAAACATTAGACTCTCAACTCCACTTCTCAGCTCACATGCAAAGATAACAAACCTGGGCATGAGGAGAGCAGACAATAATGCCTCCATGATTCAGACCGGGGCAAGACCACCATGACCTGGGAAAGGGATGAACTAGAAGGATCAGGGCAGCAGGCATTTTGGCAGTAAACATAAGGCAGGGACGTGAGAACACATAAGAGAAAATGTACAACAAAGCTGGAGGGGTGCAAAGTATCTGGTCGGGGAGAAGGCAAGCCTGGAAAGGTAAGTTGGAGCCAAATGATGAAGGGCCTTGTACAAAAAGTTAGTAAAAATTCAGAGGTCTGTCTGAAGTTACAACTGCCAGGGATGTGGGAACATGGAGGCAGGAAGAAGCTGTGGCTTCCCTGGCTTATAGAATGTAAGTGAGGCCCAGAGCTCCTGCTCCATCCTGAGCCATAGCCAACCTCCTTATCACTCATTCCTGGGAGCCATTAACTGGGGAATGGGATGGGGAAGAGGGCAAGGAAGCAACAGAGGCAAAGCAGGGGATCTCCCCAAATTGTCCTCTGAATTTCTAACTAAAATCCAGTACAACCTTGAATATGTTCCCAAGTATAACCTCTGATGATCAAAAGAAACTTGTGGAGTAGTGGGGTGAATCTTATCCCCCACGTAGAGGAAAAAATGAAATAAAACTTCCTGAGACTCACAGAAGGAAATTACTGACCTGTGGTCATACAACCAGCAACTGATACAGCTGGGACTTGAGCCCAGGTCTCCAACTCTAAACCACATTCCTATCCCCTGGTTTGCATCTGTTTCAGCAGGCAAGTGGCGCCCCTCTATAAGGCAGAACTCCCCAGCCAGCCAAAAAGCCTCCAGAAACCTAAAGTGGTGTAGTCTGGAAAGCAGGGAGAACCAGATGGGCATGGCCTGGCCCTCAGGGGAGTGCCTTGCAGGGAGGGTGCCTAGTCCCTGTCTTATTTTAAGTAGAGCCCCATGTTGAATCTATTCCAGGAGGATGAAGCTGGAGAAGGCCGCTTTAACTTCTCTGCCTATGGGATGGGCCCAGCATGTCTGCAGGCCAAGGATGGCATCTCAGTCAAGGGCGCCAACAACAATAACACCACCAACCCCCCTCCTGCACCGTCTAAGTCCCCAGAGGAGATGCGAAAACTCTTCATCCAGAGGGCCAAGAAGATTGACAAAATATCCCGCATTGGCTTCCCCATGGCCTTCCTCATTTTCAACATGTTCTATTGGATCATCTACAAGATTGTCCGTAGAGAGGACGTCCACAACCAGTGAAGGGTCTGGAAGGTTGGGGGAGTCTGGGAGAGGGGAACATGGGAATAGCACAGGAATCTGAGAGAATAAGGAAGAGAAGGGGAATAGGAGAAGACTAAGGGAGGGGGCAAACTTACACAACTCTCTCTACAATATGTGCAATAGCAAAATGCAGCGATGCATGAATTTTAGAATGTGGCACTATTTAACCGCGGGTGGGCTGTGGGTGGGGGGTCAGGAGGGACTTTTCTAATATAGTAACTGAGGGCTGGGAGGAAGTGTTGGGGAATGGGGAAATAAGAGCTTTCAAAAATCTCAGTTCACGGGCTGTGCAGTTTTCCAGTTTGGAAGGAGTGCAGTCTGCTCCAGAGCAGAAAGAAAGCAATGTAATATATGATATATATTCATGCTTAATATTAATGCAAAACCACAAGAACAAAAGATTTGTTTCTTAACCTATCAGCCTAGTAACTGCTTAAATTTTTAAAGTCACAGAAGTAATGGACAATTTTTCCCAGAGTGGAAACAGTCACAAATAAGCTTGCTCTGCTGTATATCATACTCCTCCAAAGGCCATACTGTCTTCAAACTGGCCCAGGCAGACACATGCCAAAAAGCCATTTTGCCTCTGCTTCCAGAGGGCTGTGTGGTATGGGAATGGGTAGTGGGAATGGGGAAGAGTGGAGAGACGAGAAGGAGGTGACTAAATAGAAGAACTTTTCAGAGGCCAGGGATTGAGAATACAGGTGACCCCAGCTCAATCCTCATATCTCAAGGCTGAGGACCACAACTGTCCCTCTCTGAGCCCTCTTGCTTCTGTGCTTCAGCACCGCCCCACTCACTCTCCACCACCATCCCAAAATGGCCAGTGTGGTTTTCTCATTATATTGCCAATATGCAATCTTTTTTATGGTTAAAAAAGTAATAATCTTGAAAAATAATATGCAGATAGACTGAGTGTAAACAGGTACTTTTTTCAAATGTCTATTTTTTTGGAGAGTCTCTTTGGAATTGCCAGCGAGTGCATGTTTGGGAAGGTGGGGTCAGTGGTATGAAGTACATTTGTTATCTAGTGGTTCTACAAAGTTTTAAGAGGTGAAAGGGCAGTGTTGAGTCTGCTGCAGATTAGGTATAAGGGTGGGGAGAGATGGTAATGTTTAGAAAACGTTATATTTTGACATATCATATATCATAATGTGCAAAGTTTGGGGGGATGACCCCGTTATATTTTTGTAAGTCTGTTTTTTTCCTTTTAGGTGCTTTAACATTTAGGAAAGTTAGACAAATATTTCTCTATCCTTTTAATTCTGAAGTGCCAGAATCGTCCTGGGACAGCTAGGGCACTCCAGAAAAAAAGAAGGACCAGGAGATGAATTTAGTTTGAGGGGTGCAGTGGGTACAGTCCTGCTGACAGAAATGGGTATCACAAATGGGAGGTCTGCAAGGTGGAAACAGCAGGCCTCTGTCCACTGTCAACAGCACTACGCCTGAAATAATGGCACCACTGTCTGCAGCATTTCCCCTGCTTTGGCCCATGGCCAGAGTACTGGGGTTCCATTTATTTCTTTGCACTTTAGTGTCTGAACTTCGGATCAAAGGTGTGGGTAGAATGTTGACAGACAGCTGACAATCAGTGTGTACTGAGGCCTGGGGTTTCACATGTGTCTTTAACAAATCTCCAACTTTAGGCAGGATGGGGGAGGAGTGGTAAGCAGAGAAGGGACACTGGAAGCCTAACTTTTCCCTAAAGCACCTTCCCCTAGGGGATTTTCTCCCATTCCAGCAGCACAATAACTAATACAGGCTTAAAATACCAGGTCAAGACAAAGATTCTAGAGATATTTACATAAAGAAAATGCACTATGCGGCCAAAAAAAAAGGATTCGGCTTTGAGGCTTGAATGGGTAAAGGTGTTTAATTCCAGATCCGAGGAAAATAAATTATTGCCTTCCCTTCTTTTAGCCTGTGTAGACCCAAAAAGCTAAACTGGATCACAGCTTTGAACAATATGGGATAGAACCTGCAATCCTTTTTTCTAAGAAGTCTTGGGAGATGGGAGCCAAGTGGGTAGGAGTCTCTCATCTAAGACCATCCTTTCCCCCATCACAAACATGTGTCCAAAGGAGAAAAGTTAAAAAGAGGGACTTGAATGACTATAGTTCAAGATAAGAACATCAGCCTTTGAGCTGCTGTGGGCACCTTTTATTAGCATTATATTCTCAAGTGGTGCATGAGTCTTTGGAGAGGCCCTTTCACTAGCACTTCATTCACTTTATTTAGGGGAAATCATTTTTTAATTTAAAAAAAGAAGCCCTTCTTCCTATTTTACCCATTACTGGACTAAATTCAGAATGTCTCAAGTCGTGGTGAATCAGGCAACAATCGTACTAGACCTCCAGCAGAAACTAAAGACAATGCCATTGTTCTAAGACATTCTGCCTCCACTCAAATTGATAAATCTGCAGATTCCAAACCAGCCTCCTTATGTGCACTGTCTGGAATCCCTCTGAGAGAGAGAAATCACTGGGCCATTTGCCCAACCTCTGCTGGGTCCTTGAACTTCTGCCACCATATTCAGCTTGTGGGAGCTGCCAGGTTGACAGTAGCCAACAAACAATTGAATCATCTCTTTGAGACACAGAGGGGGAATGTCACTGAAATCTTCTCTCAGACTATTACAAACTAGAGCCCCTTATGGAAAATCAACATGAGTGGAGTCATTATAGCAACGAAAAGAATCACCTGGATTTCAGTCCTGCCACTAATAGGCTGAGTGGCCTTGGGCAAATGACTAGGCTTTAGTTTCTCTAAATACACAATGTGAAGACTAGTAGTACAGTCTCTAAACTCCCTCTTAACAGAGTCAGGCGGCTGTATGACTCTGTGTTTAAGGTAGTCTACACAAGAAATTCACACAAACAAAAATTTAATGTCTCTTTGATTTCTAAACCCTCCAAGGTGTATGTGTGGGTATGTATGCACGAACACATGGACCCACACATTGTTGCCTTTCTTTGGAAAATTTGCAGATTTCTTTTTTCTTTGACCCACACTTGATGAATGGTGGCGAGGAAGGGACATCAATCATTACAAAGTCAAAAATGTCACCATGAATTAGGAATGGAAGCATACTCAAGGAAAAGACATTATCAACGTATAATGTAGCAAGGATTTAGCAAATTATGTGTATTTCATCTTTATAGAAAAATCAAACCAGATAAGCTAAGCCAATTACTTTAAGTGGCTCCAATGAACAGAGCAGTACTTTCTTAATTTCCTCTTCAGTTTGAGCACAGGGGATATTGTGCTTTGATATTACAGATGTCAAGTGGTATGGTGGCAGAAAACTGATTTGGGTACAATGCATGGTTTACCGGTTCTCAAACTCTTTGCTTATCTAGACCACAGCAATATTTATACATGGTGTGAGAACTGGACACTGGCACAGAGGATTGGTGATTTCACCCTCCAAAACTAGAGCTAATCCTAGGAGCCAAACTAGTAGGTACCAATTAAGCAGACAGAATTTCTGCGTAATTGTTTCTCACTGATTAGTTTATAATGTATCTCATTCATTTCAAGAACAGTCCAAATAAATGGCTCAGCTTTGACATCCTCTAGTCCTTTCAAACATTCTTGGCTAATACCATAGGGAATGAACAAGACCAGGCATGAACAGAAAGGGGAAAAATATTTATCTGTGTATATATTGTGTGTGATATCTTGATTTTAACTCTATTTTTAGTTTGAGTCTAAAACAAAAGGGTTCGTCATCTGACCCAAATTATTCCTTCTAAACTGTCAATAAGTAAGAAATGAATCCCCTCTCAAAAGCTCACCAATGTTTTTCATAGGCTATTTTGTTCATACTGGGGGGAAAAAATAAATGGGAGATGGTTCCTTTCCTTCAAAGTATACATCTTTACGAGCATCATTTAAAAAAAAAAAAAAAAAAAGATGTTTTGTGAGTCTCCATTAGATTAGATTACAGAGTGGGCTGATGCCCCAGCTAAACTGGTACCATCACTAATAGTCTTGTGAAAATTAGATTCCTTAGTTAATTGCAACACACTGAAATGGAAGGAGTTATTATGTCTGTAGTAACTGCCTCCTTACTAGTAGAATCTGGCAAGCACAGGGCTTGATGGTGGTACAATCTGTATCAGCTTCAGGACAGAGCTCAAGATTTAAGATTTGTAACTGTTTCCTAGTCTAGTTGGAAGCCCAGTTAAGAAGCCATGAATACCACTCTAGAAAGCTGTCTTCTTTATTCAATGAGCAACTTTTGTGCATTCTACCCACCCTCCATACCCACTCTGAAAAGGCAAGCAAGATATTCTCTGTGGGCTATGTTTCCTGGGTTGGCTGGGTGGCTTGCACTATGAGGGGCTGGTAAGGTATGTTGAGAAAGTGAATGGACCTCTACCCTTGATTTTTGGCATCATTTCTTCTTGAACCAACTAAACCAAAAATTCTCTAAACAGGCAAGCAGAGAGGGTGTTTTGAAAATATAATTTAGCTTCTTTTCCACCACTGAACTATTTCTGTCAGAAATCAACTCCTGAAATTTAAATTAAGAACCTTCCTTGGACAGGCGAGGTGGCTCACGCCTATAATCCAAACACTTTGGGAGGCCGAGGTGGGCAGATCACCTGAGGTCAGGAGTTCAAGACTATCCTGGCCAACATGATAAAACCCTGTCTCTACTAAAAATATAAAAATTAGTCAGGCATAGTGGCGGGTGCCTGTAATCCCAGCTACTCAGGCGGCTGAGGCAGGAGAATCACTTGAACCCAGGAAGCAGAGGTTGCAGTGAGCCAAGATCACACCATTGCACTCCAGGTGGAGTGACAAGAGATTCTGTCTCAAAACAAAACCTTCCTTTTTTTTTTTTTTTTTTTTTTTTTTGAGATGGAGTTTTGCTCTTATTACCTAGGCTGGAGTGCAATGATGCGATCTCGGCTCACTGCAGCTTTGCCTTCTGGGTTCGGGCAATTCTCCTGCCTCAGCCTCCTGAGTAGCTGGGATTACAGGGACGAGCCACCATGCCCAGCTAATTTTTTGTGTTTTTAGTAGAGACGGGTTTCACCATGTTGACCAGGATGGTCTCGATCTCTTGACCTCATGATCCACCAGCCTCGGCCTCCCAAAGTGCTGGGATTACAGGCGTGAGCCACCGCATCCAGCACCTTCCTATTTTCCTGCAGTTTTATGAGGCCAGAGGCAAGTACTAATCCTGACCAAAGGGAGGAACAGAAGAAATATGGCTTAATTGAGCTGGCTTGCTCTGAGAACTACTTGTATCAGTGTAAGGGAAATCACGTATGTTGGCAAGGCTTTGGCCTCATGGTATCCTGAAATCCCAATGCAGAGGGAGAGCATCCTTGGATACATTGAAATCCCTGTAGAAGTAAATAACTTAAAAAAAAAAAAAAAATCCTGAAATAAGAATGAAAGCAATGACTTTTTTTCTGATTGTCTTAGCTAAGAATCCCAAAATGTATGTCAAAAACAAGGGTATCCTACAAACATCTTGCCCAAGCCTAAGTAACTTAGATTCACAAGGGCCCATACTAGATGATGCCTCTACCAATTATCATCCTGTTGTTTCTTAAGGATTTCTCAAGCTGTAGAGACAGCAATGGCAGTAGATAGGTTTGCTCATACGTGGAGTACTAATTCATGCTGTTTTGATGGAGCTACGTGGTTAAAGTAATAATTAAGGTGCTTTGTCATTTGTTAGAACAACAAAACGAGTTCCAAAGTAGAAACTGCCCAATAATTTTAATATCATTAAGGCTCCTTCAGCTAACAGACCTTTCTCTCTTTGCTCTCCCCCTATTCCTCCCATTGTTTCTCTTCTGTCAGCATCTCCTGTTTCATCAGTTTGTCCATCTTATTTTGTGAAACCAAACTGTCAGAAGATGCTGATTTACTTCCAAGTTAAGTAGGGGAAGACTAGAATGGACATAGCAGCTCCTGTCT